TATATATATATATATTCCTTTTGAAGCATAAATTTATTGGAATCATAAACGATAATTATTTTCCATTATCAAAAATGTTGTATAGAAAATATATGTATTAATTTTCCTAATTTTCCTAACAAAGTGGCAAATTATACATTTTTATATAATTATCAACTCCGAGTCAAAATTTTTTTCAATTTTTGCAAATTGAAGATCTTCCATTCACATTCTAAAAATTCCTCAAAGACGGTTCTTGAAATTTCTCATGTGTTACTCAACAACAACGAGTAACTCGTTATCGAAACAGCACATCCACATTCGAAGAGTTCGCGTACTCCTTTCTTGTAACAAACATTCCTGAAGGAATGTTCTGTTTCTACGATTACCCTTCTAGTTTATGAGCAAGTTACGCTTGAAAATGGTCCGCGTGGCTTTTTCCCCTCCTCTTTTTTGAATGCCTCAAGAGAAGTTGGCGATAGTCGGACGAGTGTGGATAAGGTTTATCGTGGTGTACGGCCGTGTACGGTTGGAAACACGGCGGTTACTCGCGCGCGAGTAACGCGCTGTTACTCACTCCCCTCGTAAAGTATACAGATAACGGGTAACTTTAGTCGCGGCTACAGAGGTGATTTAAATGGCCACTTTGCCTAATTGCGTTATGTTTACGAGCCACGGAAATCGTAGGCCGGCCTGATAGCAGTGTCGCGGAAGCAAGAAAACGCAATGCATGCACTTCTTGGAGACATTTTATAATGCTGCAGTACTGATGGCCGCAGATTTTGGTATTTTTTTTTTTTCTTTCGAAGAGGAAGTCTTGCTGTGATGTGTTTTTTTAAGATAATGTTGCGTTGCTTTATCTGTGAAGAAATTTTGTTGTATTTTTAAAAGAAGCTCAGGATATATAAACTTTGGTGATATGCTACATTGTTGATGATTGCAAATTTTGATATTTTTTTTACTTTTGAAGAGAAAGTATTATTGTAATTTTTCAAGATAAAAAACTATTTTTGTTTATGAATATTTTTTTAAATTATAAACAATTTTCAATAACTATTTCAATAATTATCTTATTTTCATTTAAATATTGAAAAATAATTAACCTGATTGATTTCCATTTTTATTATTATTTACGTCATTATTTGCTCAAGGCTGATTTAAACGAACACTGTGGCATGTGTTCATGGGAATATATTTTAATTATCATTTCTATCCTTGTTTCAATCTCGTTGAAGAGATATATCGAAAGGCGTGTAGGCAAAAGAGGCAGGTGCCGCTTCTTGAATTTTAAAATGGTCTATTGACTCTCGATCTGCTCCAACCTGTTATTTTAAAAAAGATAATAGATATTAATTCGATTTAGTTTTCAAGTATATTATTTAATTTTTTAATGAATCAATATATCGTAGTGAATGAATCATTTCACTGTGTATTGTAATTTTATTGTATTTCAATATAAGCAACAAAATTATTAAATATAGTAATCATTGCAACCATATTTGTATATTTGAATTTTTATTCAAAAATTATCAATCTTTCTTTTTTTTCTTATTAGCATTAAATAATATATAACAAATAAATTTATTCAAATTTATTAAAATATTATTACATAAATTATATATATATAAATTTTTAAAAAAAACTTTTACAATACAAACAATTTAAACAAGATTAAAAATTTCATACAAATATGCAATGATCATTCAAAATGGCGGTATCGAAATGATAAGATTTGAGAATAAGAAATTGAAAGATCGGTAAAGAGGTGGAAAGAAAAGAAAAAGAAAAAAACGAAAAAGAAATGATAATTATAAAGGTTCAGAGGGCTGTAAGGGCAGCTGTGCTTACTCTCACCTGGCTCTTTCTCTGCACCATCGGCGACATCGCAGTCCGGAAGATACGGTGAAGAACCAATAACTCGAAGCTTGTTCCAAGAGATACCCGAAGAACACACAAATACTTAACGATGAGATAATTTTCTCAGGTTATTGTTTGTGTTTTTTTATCATAGCCATAGTTCGTTCATGTATATCTTTGATAAGGGAAACATTCACTCTAGTCACTTTTTTGTAAAACACTTTTTTTTAGACAATACAATTATTTTTTTCTATTGTCTACAATAATAATATTTTTTCCTTTCGTTGAATTCATAACTGAAAATTCATAAACGAAATTCTTTATAAAAAGTCTATCATTTCAAATTATATAAAGATCAGGAAATTCTTTTTTTCTAGTTATTTATAGTTTTCTATGTGGCGTCTACCGAATGTCGACGTTAACAACATGGTCATATAAATCATTGGTTTTTCAGAATTTATCGGTATATACGACAGACGGGTCTGATGCATTTATCGCCTAATTAATCGGATTATCCGAATGACATGCGCCGCCATTTTAGTAGC